CCCCCCCGCAGCCCTCACCTGCACGTCGCGGTAGGAGAGGAGGAGGTTCACCACGATGTCCAGGCTAAGCAGCTCCATGCTGTCCAGGCGCTGCTGGATGCGGGCCAGCTCCCGGCTCAGCTGCTCCCCTCGGTACATCTCCCGTGCCCTCCGGATATCCCGCCGGATCGTCTCCCGAAAATACCCGCTGGGGATGGGGGGCAGAGACGTGGGGCTTTTGGGGTGGTGGCAATTCTCCGCCAAGCCCTGCCAGCCCACATGGGCACGGGGGTTTGCCCGCAGCCGGAGGGGTGGGCAGCAGTACCAGGAGTCGGTGGGGATCCCCTCCAGCAGTTGGACGAGCCGGGCTGCCAGCGGGGTGAAGAAGGTCTCGCTGGGCTGGAAAAGCTCCGTCAGGCACTTCATGGCCCCGGCGTCGCAGCAGACGACCTTGTTCTGGGGTGTCACCGCATAGGGGATGAAGGTGTAGCTGCCGCAGAGGTCCTGAGGGAGGGGTGAAGGGGTGAGCGGCTGTGCCAGCCGAGCTGAGAACCCCTCTACTCGTATCATGGACCAGCCCCGTCTCCCCAAGCCTGCCCGTGCTGCCCGGACCATACAGGCCATGCTAACACAACCACCTTCCACAAGTCATTAGCAGGGAAAGACAAGCCAGCTTTATCTCTTGCTGCCATCATTACGCTCCAGAGTGAACACTCCTGGTTCTTTTCAAAACCAGGTACCCCTCTCCGTGCTGCTGTTCCTAGCGCTTGCTCTGAGCGAGTGACACCCCCCTCAACTCAGATCTGGGGAGAGGTCTTGCTCTCTGTCTGCAATGTCCACCCTCCGAGGCTGGTGAGAGGCAGCTCAGGGGGAAAGAGAGGCTCAAACCCCCCGTCACCGCGGCAGCGAGCATGGGGACAAGAGACACACCGAGTTCTTCTGGCAGATGTCTTCCTGGGGAGAGAGGGAAGGAGGAGGGATTTAACGGGCATCCCCAGCAAAAGAAATCAGCTGATTTCAGGCTCAGGGATGGGTGTTACCTGGAAAACAGCCAGGGACAAGGAGGGACGCTGGGGCCGAGCCACGAGGGCGGCCGGTCGCCCCCACGCCGCGAGCATTGCGTGTGTAACCCCCACCCCCACCCCGGGCAGGGCTGCAAACGCAGCCGGCTTCTCATCCAAACCCGGCACAGGGAAGGGGTCTCCGAACGGGTGCTTCCCCGAGTCAGGGCAATGTTTGGGGACGATTTGGACGTGCTCCCATCCACATTTTTTTCCCCGAGCGGCGAGAATCCCTCCCTCCGGCCCCTTCCGTGCAGAGGGTTTTGCTTCCAAGGAATCGGCTTTTCGCAGAGAAAAGCGCCTGTTCCCGAATTCCCAGACTGTTGGGGCCAGGGGAGCACCCAGCACCCCGCACCCAGCTCCGGGGCTCACCAGGATCCCCAGCCACCCCCTTCTCATCCCATCCAGGCGCAGGGAAATCTCTGCCAGAGCAGGATGTGACCGTGGGAATTTGGCCGGGCTCGGGGAAGGGACGGAGATCCCCCTCCTGCCGGCACGGATGCTCCAGGCGCTCGGGGCTATTCCCACCCTGGAGAAGCAGCACCCGGGGGGCCGGGGTGTCCCTGTCCCTGTCCTCACTGACCTGCAGGGCCTGGAGGGGGGGCAGGTCGGCCTGGCAGCACAGCAGGACGTTGTGGGACATGTTGAAGCTCTCGCGGACGCCCAGGTGGTAGAAGAGGGAGGGCTGGCAGACGGAGTCGCTCAGCTCCACCACGGTCACGTCTGCGGGC